ACAAGAAGCGTGAAAATCGGCCCAGGAAGGTTGAGGACCATCAACTGCAGGCTCTTTTGGATGAGGACGATACCCAATTGCAAAAAATGCTTGCCGAGCAATTGGGTGTTACTCAACCAGCCATTTCCATGCGTCTACGTGCCACGGGAAAGATTCAGAAGATTGGAAAATGGGTGCCGCATGAATTGAACGATAGGCAGATGGAGCGATGCCAAAACACATGCGAAATCTTGCTCGCCAGACAAAAAAGAAAGTCGTTTCTGCATCGGATTGTAACTGGCGATGAGAAATGGATATATTTTGAGAATCCTAAACGCAAGAAATCGTGGGTTGATCCAGGCAAACCATCAACATCTTTCCCAAGACCAAATCGCTTTGGACGGAAGTGTGCGTTTGGTGGGATCAGCAAGTTATTGTCTACTATGAGCTATTGAAACCTGGCGAAACTGTCAATGCTCACTGCTACCACCAACAACTGATCAAATTGCAACTGTGCTCTGCGTGAAAAAAGGCCGGATTATCAGCAAAGACACGACAAGCTGATTTTCCTCCACGACAATGCACCATCGCACGTGTCAACATTGGTCCGAAACTACTTGGAGACACTCAACTGGGAGGTGCTACCCCATCCCGCTTATTCACCAGACCTGGCCCCTTCCGACTATCACCTCTTTTCATCGATGGGCCACGCGCTTGCTGAGCGGCACTTCGATTCTTATGAAGATGTCCTAAAATGGCTTGATGAGTGGTTTGCCTTGAAAAAGAAGAAATTTTTTTGGCATGGTATCCACACATTGCCCTGGAGATGGAACAAATGTGTCACTAGTGAGGAAAAGTATTTTGAATAAATTTGTTTTTGCTTTCTAAGAAAAAAAACGTGTGTTTTTCTGACTAAAAAAACAGCGGATTTAAGCTTATAAACCTATGTATATTTATATTAATGATGTCTCCAAAGTTCAGTGAATTTTTTGCAGAAAAATAACTTATCAGGAAACATGCGCCTGCTGTTCGATGAGCCGCTCCGTGACGAAAACAAGCTTAAGCAATGACGTTGTCAAACGGCGCGCACTCAGTAAATGATCCTACAATTTTTTTTTTTATAGCATAGTTTATATGAATTATTTCCAAAAAATTATATGTATTTTGGAAATTTGAGTCAAATTAGTCTAGAATCGATTAATTTTACGGAAGAAAACCTTTCAAACAGCCGTAGCCACTAAGCAGCACACGTGCCGGGCTGTGACTGGATCACGTACAACACAGAATTCACATAACACGGAATGTATCTACCACACTATAGGGGTCTACTGTATATACATGCACCTTTTTTTTATTGTGAAAATTGCAATGACAGATAGTTTGCAACATGGAAAGCATTTTTCATGTTTTCTAAATATGCTCTTGGTAAGTTTAAACAAAGAAAGCCCCATTTACTGGGTTTGTAATTGCAAGTTAAAGCTGGCAGTTAACTTGCATCATTGCATTACCCTCAATCTGCTTTAAAATTGACTTAAACATAAGCACAAAATTATAGTACTTATTAAATCACTGATATAAATAAATTGGTGGAAAGTGCATTTTTATAAAATATGGAACAATTTTTCAAAATACTTTCAATAATTTTTTTTATAATTTAATTCATTGACTCTTCACTCTGTCACATAATTTATAATGTTTAATGCCACATATATATTCATGTATTTATGTTAATTTTAAAAATAAGTAAAAACCTCCTTAATTATAACAATTAGTTATATATATATTAAAACTTACGTCCTCCTCTCATTCCTCCACCTCTTCCTCCTCCTCCACCACCACCACCTCCTCCTCCCATACCAAAGTTCTGAGCTTTACGTTGTGCCAATTGAACAGTGATGTTCTTTCCTTGAAAATCTTTTCCTATTTAAACACAAAATTTATATTTTATACATAAGTAAGTTTTATTTGCAAAACTAATTGATATAACTATTAGTACAACAAATATAAATAACAGTACTTTACTGAAAACAGTTTAAATTATCTTTTCTCTCAGAAAAATATATAAGTTTCAATTACTTCAACTAAAAAGTTTTAGGGGATAATACAAGATAAAAATTTGTGTAATTTGTTAACTGAATAATTTTTTTAATAGATCAATTTACATCCATTAAGGACAGTTTTCTTAAAATAAGAAAGTTTAAATTATTCCAATTTAGAATTATTACCATTAAACCAGCTAATAGCAGAAGTTGCTGTAGGTGGATCATCATAAGTGACTGTTGCTTCACCTTTTCCTTTTCCAGTAATTTTATCTTTATAAATCCATATTTTTTGCTTCCCTGTTCTCTTATCATTCTGTAATAAAATAACATACTGTATAAGACAAATAACCAGTTTTGTCTGGAAGGCTTTACTTGAATCATAACTGATATTTTACCTTTATAACACCAATAGACCCAAAGAATTCTGATAATTGCTGTTCACTCACTTCCTCAGGTAAACCAGAAACAAATATAGTATCTTGTATTTCTTCTCCACCGTCTGAAATTATAAATCTCATCTATTATAATACATAAGACGAGGTTTATTTGATATAATAATTTCTTTGTTTAATTCCAATGATTTATAAAGCCAAATTTTAATTAAAATGACATGCTTGCAATTTTTTACAAAATTGCTTTAAAACATTTATATATAATCCACCTACTAAATCAACTTCTCATTTGTAATTAGTATAAATTTAATTAGAAAATATTAAAATTGTATTAGTACAAAACAATTAAAAAGTAAACTTATTAACTAATAAAACAGAACTGAAGAAGCAATAAAAGATTATGTTTAATATCTGTACATGACTGAAATCTTGAAGTATTTTTTATTTTCAAAATTAAGTTACTCAAACAAATTTTGATTTTAGGTTGTATCGACAGCAACAGCTTTAAGATAACTATTTAAACACATTTCATTATTATAAATTTTCTAACTAATGCTTAAAAGGTCTCTCTTAAATTCAAAATATAAGATTTACAAAATTCTGGTTTGTTAAAACCAAAGACTACATAATTACTGATTTTTCAAATAAACATGCATTTGATTTAGTTCAGAAAATTGAATCATGCAATAAGATACCAACATTTTTATTCAATAGTTGGGCTAGACAGAATGAAGTTAGTGTGGCCTACAGCATGCTGTTTGGAAATTGATTAGTCTGGTTATAATTTATAATTCCATAAATAAAAAATTGTCCTATTAGTGCATATTGAAATCCATTGAGACACAATAAACTTAAGAGATATATATATTTATTTATTTATTTAAGTTTCTTCTTCAAAGGTTTTCACTTTTTAAAATATCTAATAGCTTCATTAAAAAATAAGATTTTATTGCTAATTTTCAGAACTTCAAATATTTCATGCATTTTCCAAACTATGATATTCATCTAAAATGTAGAAAACCTTGTCAAGCATATATTTTTTGCAATAAAATATAAAGTATACTGAAACTCATCATTAATTTTATAAAGTATGTAAATGATAGAAAAATTATATGACCAATTTTTAAGAAATGATGTAAATTGAATCTAATAATCAACTGTATTCCATAGCTACTGGCAATTATTGTATCATTCTAAGTTCCAATATTGAAAATCAGTAGCCCTTCATAAAATCATTTTTTGATGTATCATGCTTTTATTTTGTCTTCCAAATATAAGTATTTTAGCCAATAAGTTTAAAAAAAATTAGTTGCCATTGAATTTCTACTGCAAAGAAATACATTAAAATTATGTTGTAGGTTGTATTTTAAAAAATTTAATTAATAAACATGCTTTTATTGGTCAAATTTTTTAAAAATGGAGTAGAGGATAATAAGATGATCCAATTCCCACCATATGTATCAATATAATACATTTATAGACATACATCATTATATATTTGATTATTTTTATGAGGATTTCAGATGAGGTCCATCTTCCTAAATCATTAAATGCATTGCCATCAGACTTAAGTATATCCTCAAAATTTCAGCCTTCTGTCTTAATTAGAAGTGGAAGAAACTTGAATTGAAAGATTTGAGAACATGATACAAAGAATTTAATAAGCAAGTCCACAAAAAAGTAAAATAAAAATGAAAATAGACAAAACAGATAAGTACAAACATATATCAAATTATTTAATATGATCATATATATATTTGTAATTTTGTTACTTTTGTTAAAATTTTAATTTTAACAATACAATAACTAATACTTTTGTTAAAATTTTAATTTTGAAAGAAATTTAGAGCAATAAAAATCCATTATCTGTTCTATCAACATAACTATAATCATAACTTAAAAATTTTAATTGTGCCATTCAATTCTCTTCTCTTTATTCATAGAAATTTAAAACTAAATTTGTACTTCATAATTTATTTCTTAAGATACTAATTATCAATTTTTGTCCCATTCTTTTTAAAAATAAGAAAATTTCAATTTCTTTTCTAGGCCTTGCTTGCTACCTTTTTGAAATCTATATACAAAAGTCATCCAGAAAATAATGTTTGGCCATTAAAAAACAATAAATAAATAAAAAGGGTACAAAAAATAACAACCTATAGGATAACACAGTAAATATTGATAGAAAAGGTTGAGTTAAAAATAAAAATTGGATTTTAATGACTATCAAAAGTTACTCAGACTAAAATATGTTCATGCCCCCAATATCAATTATAAAAATGATTACAAAACTTCTTTGTAATACTTAAGATGGTAAATACAATAGAACTTAAATCTTTTCAATTAAGAAACAGATAAATGAGACAACTTTGGAGTCGGAATAAAGTAATAGATGATATAAAGTTATCAAATTAACAGTAGATACAAAGTGCAAAAAATTTACTCATACATCCCTCATTACATCAGGGTCATGTGGATGGCTCACTGAATTGTTACAAAATTTCATCACAAAAAGTTTATCAACTCTCTGTACAAAATGATAGGGAAACTTAAGAACTTTTGAACCAATAACTTCAGAATAGATCATTGATTGGATCCAAAAGCAAAGTTGATTACATTTCCATAGACCAACCCCTATCTATCAACACCTAATTTGTTGAAATATGCCAAGAAAACTAGAAGAAGGTTGGCTAACAAAAATCTTCTTAGCATAATTATATATATATATATATATATTAGATAATGTATGGCCAACAAAGTACAATGGATGCTCAAAAGCTTCCCAGCTGAATTTTCAAAGTATAGCTTGAGTTATTACAACAGAGTAAAAGTACACCACCAAGTGACTATGGCTATGTTAAAGCAAAATTTCTCTGTTATATCATCAATAATCAAAACATTTTAATAAATACTAAAAATTATTGAATATATAAAAAAGATATGATAAATCTTCAATGTTAATCATTAAATTACTTAAAATTCTTCATGTGTCATGCCAATTTAAAATACTAGTTGTGCCCAAGCAAATAATCACATGTTATGTAAAACAAAATATTAAATGATAAAAGTTTGTTTTTATTTGGGAAATTTCAAAAACAAACATTTATTAAACGATGTATTATATATTTTTCAATATAGTATATTTGATGTTATAAAGTTAAAAGAAAAAGTGAATAATTTTGTGCTGCACAAACATGGTTTCAAAACTTTTTTTGTAACAAACTGGATTAGTCAATATAGAAAGTGGCATGCTCCCAAATCATTGAGTTCAAATTTTTTATACTTAATTTTAACACAAACTTTTTTGTTATTATTATGAACTAATTAATAAAACCTAAACTGGCATTAAAAATAAACCATATAGTTTCTAAGAATATATCAATGTGAAAAGACAAATTAACTGAAGTTGACAGTGTTTGTCTCTAGCAGAGAGCAAGAGAAGCAAATATTATCCCTTTTTTATATAAATTTTCAAAAAAGTAAGTGTCAATAACAGAATCTAAAATCTTGTGCTTTGCAGAAATGTATGAACTATAAAGATCTGTACATTAGTTTATCATATCCAAGGAGCATTAGAGATTAATTTTTATATGCCATTTTAAGTACAACAATATTACAAATTGTAAGCAAATAAATTACATAAACTAAAATTAATTATTGAAGACTGACTTAAAATTAATAAAATCAAATTTTATTATGTATTAACATTTTCACTTGAAAATGTTTAAGCAAAACAAAAATCACAAATTATGATTATGCAACAATTTTTGCAAGTTATATCACCAAGTAAAGAAACTCATATTTGGGAAAAATGTGCATTTAATAAATTTAAAAAATTACAGCAATTACATTTATGTGCAAATACAATTTTATTGTTTTTTTATACTGCTATAATTTTAAATGTAATCTAAAAATTATTTAGTTACAATTGTTTGGAAAACAATTTGCAAATTTTCTATTCAAATTCTAATAACATTTGTTCAAAATAAGATATTACAGAAGCAATATATTACTTTTTAAATAATATCCATTCTGTGTATGAAAACTTGAAATCTGTATTAGAGATGAAGTTGCAAAACTTCTTACGGCTTTATCTGTTATACCAGTAATCTGATAGATTACTGATATATCAGATAAAGTCATAAGAAATTTTAATTAGGATAAAATTAAAATAATAAAAATTTAAATAAAAACTATTCCAAAAGATAAACAGCACACAACTAAATCTTTTTTAATGAGATTCAAATTTATAATATGTTTCTATAGAATACTATTTATAAATAACCGAATACAGTAGAGCATCGATTATCTGACTCAGTTGGGGACTAGGGTTGGTTGGATAACTGAAAAAACGGATAACCAAAAAGTATTAAAAAAATTCATTATTAGTATATTCCTATTAACCTACTTTGCATTGAATGTTCATTGATGTTAAGCATAACAAAATTTTTTAAAAATAATCATCATCGCTATAATATCGTTAAAAATTATTTTATTGCTCACAAAACAAACAACTGCTCATAATTAAAAAATTAAGCCTCCTTTAAATACTGGCCTCCCTTTCATGGTCGAGCCAGTGTTGGCAGCTAAAACATGCAAAAATTTAACTAAAATATTAAAGTAGCCAAGACAGCAAAATATTGTAGCACCACATTACTAGCGGACATTTGAATTTGCCGGAATAGAACGCAGTCGGTTAACCGATGTGACAGTTGATCAGAGGTCGGATAACTGATGCTCTACTGTATAATCTAACACAGCACGCATTTTATATAGCATAACATGCATTCAATAAAAATTTGAAGCATAAATGGAAGTCCCTCCACATCACTAATACTTTTAACCTTTGTTTTAGTTCAATGGGATAAAAATATAGTAAATACATAGTTGTTTTAATCAACTACTTCATTGAAACTTGATGTTCAAATGATTTAAACACATCAAATTCTGCTCAATTCAAAGAAATACTAAAAAACCAATGTTGAATAAATCAGGAATATACTTATGGGTAGAACAAGGGAAATATGTAATTTTAAATAAAATCTAAGAAACTGTTATTGCAATTCAATATATTAAGGTATAATTTTTAATATAATAAAAGCTAATT